AGAGTTTTGAACCTGTGCTAGTGTACGGGGTATCAGTGACGCTCCTGACAGTTCCCTATGTGCCTGCTTTGGTAGCACATATCCTAAAAGTTCTCTGTAACTCTAGGTTTTTAATTCTCTTCTTTCTCAGGCAAAATCCTGACAGATGACTTTGCGGACAAGGAGGGCCTGGAAATGGGTGATGAGTACTTTGCAAATCTGGACCACATCGAGAGCGTGGAGAACTTCAAGGAAGGGTATGAGAGTGATGTCCCCTGTTCCTCTGACAGCAGTGGCGTAGACTTGAAGGACCAGGAAGATGGCAACAGTGGTACGGAGGATGCTGAAGAGTCCAATGACGATAGCTCAGATGATAACTTCTGTAAGGATGAGGACTTCAGCACCAGCTCAGTGTGGCGCAGCTATGCTACTCGGAGACAGACCCGGGGCCAGAAAGAGAACGGACTGTCTGAGACAACTTCCAAGGATTCCCGCCCCCCAGACCTTGGGCCCCCACACATTCCTCTTCCTCCCTCAATTCCTATAGGGGGCTGCAATCCACCTTCCTCTGAAGAGACCCCCAAGAACAAGGTGGCCTCCTGGTTGAGCTGCAATAGTGTCAGTGAAGGTGGCTTTGCCGACTCTGATAGCCGCTCATCCTTCAAGACTAGTGAGGGTGGGGATGGCCGGGCTGCAGGAGGCCGAGGGGAGGCTGAGAAGACCTCTGCCTCAGGACTGGGAGTCAAGGATGATGGAGACAGCAAGCAGGCTAAGAAAGAGGTAAACATTTGGCTTCTAACTCCAGTGCAGTAACAAATGTTGTCTCACCACAAGTGTTTGCATGTAGATTATTTACATGAGGGGTATTTCTGTGGCAACCTGATTAGCTTCCCCCTCTACCCAGTACATTCCTAGTGTTCATTTAAAGAACAAAATTATTTGAAGATTTACTTGCTAGGGAAAAGGGAGTATCTGACTTATTGCAAAGTGAAAGATTTGTGTGTGTGTGTGTGTGTGCGCACGCATACATGCTTAATGACGTTTCGGTTCTCTACATCATTGCTGGCTTTTATTTTAAAGCACAGAAACAAAGCCAGGCATAGTGACACACACCTATAATTGCAGCCCGCAGAAAGCAGAGATAGGATTGCTGTGAGTTCAAAGGCCAGCTTGGGCTTGGGCTACATAGTGAGACTTGTCTCAAAAACACAAAGGGAGGAGAGAGGAGAAAAAGGAAAGGAGGTCGGGAGGCTGAGGCAGGAGGATCATTGAGAGTTCAAGACCAGCCTGGGCTACAAAGTTAGCTCAAGGCCAGCCTGAACTGCACAGCAAGACCTTGTCTCAAAGAGACAAAGGGAGGGAGGGGAAGGGAAATGAATTGCTTTTAAGGTGGATGTGGTGGCACGTACCTATAATATAAACATTCTGAGAGGCTTGAGGAAGGAGGATCACAGCCTAGGCAACTTAGCAACTTAGTGAGACCCTGTCTCAAAAATTTTTTTGTGTGAAAATTTCAAATTGGGGGCAGGGGGCTGAGATAACTAGCTCAGAGTGAAGACCCTGGGTTCGCTTCCCAGTAGAAAAACAAAAAAGTTCAGACTTGGGTGCCATGGTGTCCACTTATAGTCCTAGCAACACTAGGGGCTGTGGAGGGGGCGGGGCTGAGGCAGGAAGACTACTTGAGTCCACAGATTTGACGCCAGCCCAGGTACTGTAGCAAGGGCCTGGGCTAAAGAACAGTAGGACTTGGCTGGCCATGGCGGCACACACCTGTAATCCCAGCACTTGGGAAGCTGAGGCAGGAGGATTGTTGCAAGTTCGAGACCTGCTTAGGCTACACAGTGAGCTCAAGGCCAGCCTGAACTGCACAGTGAGACCCTGTCTCCAAAAGAGAAAAAAAAGTAAAATAAAAAAATAAAACTTGACTCCAAGTTTACCTTCAGTGGTGTTAAACCTTTGCACATCACAGGCGTCAGACCAGGTCCCAGGTCCCTGCAACAATCTGCTCATGGCACTCTTCCCACCCTGGGGAAGGCTTTGAGGGCCTGACAGGAGTTCAGAGATCAGGATGTGACTGTTCATCAGGCCACAGAGCGGTTGCCAGCACTGCCCGACGTTCGCTAGCGCACTCCCACTGGCGGATGTTACATCAAAGTCATTTGAAATAAAGTCTCGTTATTAGACTCACTACAATGGCCCACAAAAGCATTTAACTCCTCACTTGCTCTTTTGTAGGACCCTGATGACCGAAACAAGATGTCAGTGTAAGTGCTTTTTTTTTTTTTTTAACTGTTTCTGCATCTGCCTTCTCAAGCCTCTGAAAGCTGGGCAAGGTGGCAGATGTAATCTAACAGTTGGGAGGCCGAGGCAGGAACATTGCAAGTCTGAGTCCAGCCTGGGATACACAGACAGTTGAGGCCAGCCTGGACTATAAGTGAAACCCTAAGAACAAAAAAGAAAGGCCAAGAAATAACTAGTAACTTGTCTTCCTCTCATTCCTCCTCTCATTAGTGTTACTGAAAGCTCTCGAAATTATGGTTACAACCCTTCTCCAGTGAAGCCTGAAGGACTTCGCCGCCCACCTAGCAAGACGAGTATGCACCAGAGCCGGCGGCTCCTGGCGTCTGCACAGCCCAACCCTGATGTGAGTGCCCTTCCGAGCTGCATCCCACTCGGCCATCTTTCTGTTTCAAATCCAAGTACAGGAGTTGCGACCGTCTCACCTCAAGTCCTTTTGCTATAATTACTGCTAAGTCTCGTCTGTCTTGTTTGGCCTTGCCTTCCTCCTGCCGCCTTTTCCAGCACCATCTGTTCTTCCTCTTGCTGGTCTCAGCCCCTTCTGCCAGGCCCTGGGTAAAAGCAAGCACTGATGGGGCCTTTCCACTTACTCCTTTTCTCACCTTCTGCCTCCCTAGGATGTCCTGACACTGTCCAGCAGCACAGAGAGTGAGGGGGAAAGCGGGGCCAGCCGGAAGCCCACTGCTGGTCAGACTTCAGCCACGGCAGTGGACAGTGATGATATCCAGACCATCTCTTCTGGTTCTGAAGGGGATGACTTTGAGGACAAGAAGAACATGTCTGGTAGTCTGGGAAAATTTCAGGAGTGGTAGGAAGAAACAGGAAAGTAGGCATAGAGCATTTTTTAAGGAAGCTACAGAAGTAGGGGTGGAGGATTCAGACTCTAAGAATGGAAGCATTTCTGGGAGGCCCCTGAGCTAACTGACTGTTAATGTTGTTTGACAAGTCCATTCCTTACTCTGCCTGGCAGTCTAATCCTGCCTGAAAATACTGCCACTTAGGGTCTTCGCCTGAGACTCCGCTTGTTGGCATTCTCTAACTGCAGTGTGTGGGGATAAAAACAGAGAATAATGCCTGCTTGTGAGCTGCAATGTGTCTTGACCCCAATGAATCCCCTCTTGTCCAGGTCCAATGAAGCGCCAAGTGGCAGTGAAATCAACCCGAGGCTTTGCTCTTAAATCAACCCATGGCATTGCCATCAAATCAACCAACATGGCCTCCGTGGACAAGGGGGAAAGTGCACCTGTCCGTAAAAACACACGCCAGTTCTACGATGGTGAAGAGTCCTGCTACATTATTGATGCCAAGCTTGAAGGCAACCTGGGCCGCTACCTCAACGTGAGACCCTCTCCCTCTCCCCTAGGTGTTGGACTAACCCTTGGTCTCAGCTTTTTGTTCTTCTAACATAGTATAGAAACCTACTTTTTCTTGTTATAAATTGATTTCAAAGATCTTGAAAGCCGGGCATGGTGACGCACACCTGTAATCCCAGCACTTGGAAGGCTGAGGCAGGAGGATCACCACAAGTTCAAGCCTGGGCTACATAGTTCCAGGCCAGTCTGAAATACATAGCAAGACCGTCTCAAAAAGCTCAAAAACAGATGTTGAGTAGCTTTGTTCCAAAACATGTTTAAGAAGGGGAGGGTCAGAAACCATCCTTTTCTTCCAATTCTTACCCCTTTAAACCAAATCTTGTTTACCTGGTACTGATTCAGTGCTATCCTTGAATTTGTAGCACAGCTGCAGCCCCAACCTGTTTGTCCAGAACGTCTTCGTGGATACTCATGATCTTCGCTTCCCCTGGGTAGCCTTCTTTGCCAGCAAGTAAGAGGGAGTTCGGAGGGGATTATTGGGGCAGTGGGGCAAAGGCAAGGACCGTGGAAACTCTTAAGTCCACCTCTGCCATCTGGGGTCCTAGTCCACGTTGGTACTGTGTAACAGGCGTCCGTGTTACCAGCTACCTTCACCACACCACATCACATCCTTTTCCTCTTCAGGAGAATCCGAGCAGGGACAGAGCTTACTTGGGACTATAACTACGAGGTGGGCAGTGTGGAAGGCAAGGAGTTGCTGTGCTGCTGTGGGGCCATCGAATGCAGAGGTCGTCTTCTCTAGAGGACAGACTTCTTCCTCACCTTTGGAACCCTTCTGGAACTGTCCTGTCCTCAGGAAATGGGTCTTCCCAACTGCTGAACTCTGACCCCAAGACTCTGGTCTAGCTACTCCCCTAGCTCCTAGTAGACAGAAATGGGAGTTCTGGATCCAGAGATCTCTTCCAATGTGGTGCTAGCAGGCAGAGTCCCTTCATGGCTTCCTAAGGCACTCAGGTGGGGAGAGATCACCACTCCCACCTAGGCCTGACAGCTTCCTGTCCCGTGTTTGTTCAAGCGTTCACCATTCTGATACTTTATTCCTGGGCCAGGGGCTAGGTATCTACTATGCCTGGTTTGTATTACTCCATGAAAGTATTTTAACATGGTAAAACAGACTGCTATTTGATTTCTCTCTCAGCCCATTCTCCCGCTCTCCACACACTATATCTTCAGTGAGGTTTGTCTCCCTCATCTTCTCCAGTAGGCAGCTGTCATTAATCTTGTACCTTCTCTACTTGTTTTTTTCTTGCCATGTGAATTTTAAACACAAAATGTTACGTAACTTCAAGGAAGGCATAAGAAAGACTCTCTTAGTTTATTTAGTTGATCCCCTTTCTCAATTCCTAAGTCTGACACCTGTTGACATGTTTTATTTAATCTTTAATATATTTTCATTAAAAAAAAAAAACTTTTAACAGTACATTTTCATCTGAAATGGTCCCTCTGCTGAAATGCCAGGTGCCAGCTGTAATTCTGGCTTTAAAATTGAAACCCCGAATGTTTAATAAATAAAAATTAGAACTAGTTGCCATTCTACCCCAGACCAGCTAGACTAGCTGAAGGGAGGGGAAAGACCAGAGCAGGGAGCAGTAAGATCTTGGACATGTGGCCACAGGGACAGCTGGCAGGGAAATAACAAGAAGGCCATCTGAGAGTCCCCATTTAGTCCCCACTTTTTGGCAGAGGTAGGGTAAGGGTCATGTGCGCCCTCCTACGCTCACTCAGTTCACTGTGTCTTAGGAGGAAAAAAGTTCAAAGTAACTCAGCTTTGGTTTCTGGCCCAAGTTAGCTTAGAAAGGTGAGCCTTGGTCCAACTTTGGCAGAATTAGGCCCACAGATCAGACAATAAGGCACAACCCTGGCACATCTGAAGGCCAAGGAGTCAGAAGGCAAACAGCTAGGGCCAAATCCTCAAGAGTAAGGAATGTGAGTTGTAACTCTACCCCAGAGGTGAGGAAGGGGTTAAAAGCAATAGAAAGGATAATCTGGAGGGCAGAAAAGAAACTCAGACTACCCTCCCTCTAGCAAAAGATACAACCCACCTCCTCTCCACCCAGGGATAGGCTGGTTAGAATTTGGTTTAAAGGCAACTGGGTGACAAAGAAAAAAGGGAATGCGGAAGTCTCTTCTACCCTTCTCCTTTTCCCCAGAGCTTAAAGTGAGCCTATAGGTAAGGTTGGCTAGTTCCTTGGCTTTATGCATTCATCTGGGAGGCAGCGGGACAATGCTCAGTCATTCTTACGGTGGTGGTTATTGAGGACCGGGTGGCCGTTGGCCAGGGGCCGGCTCTTTGCTCCTCCCCCAGTGGCAGCCTCCTCCCCCTCGGAGCTCTCTGTTTCCTCCCGGTCGCTTCGTTCATCTTCTACCACCTGGAAACGGGATCAGGTGGTTAAAGGACAGCCTCAAGCCTCTAAGGATTGCCTCTGGGAGCTTGTCCCCATGCCTGGTCCCTGTTTTAGTTTTGGAAAGGGTCACTGGCATGACCAGGAATTTGGGGAGGTTTAGACTTGAGAGCAAGTAAGGCCCACAAAATGGAGACAGAACTTTACCTTTCCAGTTATGAACTTGTGGGCCATGCGCAAAATGAGGTAAGCCCAGAAGATATGCAGTATCTGGAGCACCCCCATCATGGCATTGAAGAAGTAGTAGCCGAAGAATGCAGGGTAGAGTTCCAGTGGGTACACCAGTGTGCAGTGTATCATCCTGAGGGTTCGAGGCGAGAGACACAGTTGTCAGCGTGGCCGGGGCAACTCCTGAGTCCTTGAAGAGGACAGCCTGACCCCTACTCACCAGAAGGGCAGGATGACCAGTCGTGTGATGATGAAAACGATGGCAAAGATGATGAAGATGTTGTTGCAGGTGTTCTTCCAGCCCGCGTAGTTAAACATCTTGGCCGACTGTAAAAGCCCCAATCCATCACCCTGGGCCCCCAACACCCAGGTACATTCGCCCAGTTAGCAGCTCCAGCTCTGAGCCCCATACCTTGGTCCTGGGAATGTCACTACCTTCCTCACCCCCCAGAAAGGACAGAGGGCCTTAAGAACCTGCACTGGGACTTCTAGTTTGTGGGAGCCTGACCTCTAGCAAGTAATCTGAAGAGTCGTGCAGAGCCATGATGAGTGTCCCTGCGCGGATGTAGTTGGCAAACCAGGAGAAGCTGATGAGGATGATGGTGGCCACGTGGTGGATGATCTGTTCCTTGAAGTCCTGCAAAGATACAGGCTCCAGGGAACTGCAGCTCCCCATCCCCCTTCACTCACTGTCTCTCTCACACACACACACATCCCATGTCCCACAGTTCTGGTCAAAGCTGCAAAAAGTCAAAGGAAAAGCTAGTCCATCCCAGGACCTCACTTGGCTCCCCCTGACCTGGACAAAGTCTCGCTACATAGTCCAGGCCAGCCTTGAACTTGGTAGGTAGGCCAGCCTGGCTTGCAGTTCTCCTGCCTCAGCCTCCTCAAGTACCTATACCACCACATCCACCTCACTTGCCTGTTGGGCTTAATTGTGCAACCCCTTCACCTACCTTTCGCTTGACGTCAGAAGCAATGCTGAAGAGCAGGGACATGTAGAAGGAGAGTTCAATCATGTAGTACCAGTACTGGGAAGGGATGGTGCTCTGGGTGAGCAGAGAGAGAGGTGAGAGACCCAGAGCAGTGCAGCCCAGGGGGCTCCCACTCCAAGCCCCATGTGAGCTGATTACTTCCAGGACTCGTTCCTCCACCCTGAGCGCAGAGCGCTTCTAAGGCTGTGCATGGCGGCCACCCCTCGGCGGGCCCGCTCCGTACCTGGATGGGGTATCCCTCCCAGACTTTCTTCATGTCATAGAACCAGGGTTTCTGCGTGGAGACAGTGAAGAAAGGTTAAAAGAGGAAAGACCCGCTCCAGTCTCTCCCACTTCCCAGCAACCCCACTCACATCCACAATGACAGCCATGCCAGCAACAAAGGCGATCAGGTAAAATGTGAATCTCCAGCTGGAAGAAGCAGCACAGAGGGTTAGGCAGGAAGGCAGCACGGCCCCAGCAGTCCCGTGTGCTCTCAAGGACCGAACCCCTCCTCACCCCTTCCTTACACAGCCCAGCCTCCCCAGCAAGCCCCATGAGATTCCTCGACCCAACTTCCCCACCTGGCTTCCCGAAACTTCTTGAGGAGACTTGGCCGGTCCTGGTTGCGGCGGCGGCGGAACCAGCGCTCTACCTGGCGGCCAGAGAGCCCGCTCTGCCGAGACAAGAGCTCAACTTCCACCTGGGGATAGTGAGAGCCCTTCTCAGCCTCAGAACCAGCAGCGCCCCCACTCCAGGCCCTCCCATTTGCCCTCCAGGGCTAGCACCCAACTGTCATCCCCTCTCCCCTCCCCCAGAGCTGAGCGACTCCCAGAGCCACAGCGGAGGCACAGCGTGTACCTGCTTGGGCTGCTTGCCGCTGGTCACATAGAAATGTTCTAAGGTGGCGTTGGGAGGCGCTCGCAGCCGAGCTTTCTCCTTTACATTCAGGAGGGCTGCCAATGGTGTGGCCACGTAACTAGGGAAGGAACAGAGGGAGGTGTCGCGCTCTCAGAGTGCCCCTGGCCCCTAAACTGGGAGTGGGAGGCTGCAACCTCAGACAGCTGTGCACCGGGCCTCAGTTTCCCCAGTCTCCTGGCAACCTCCTTCCCTGTAGTCTCTGAGCTGCCCAGGGCTGACAAAGCTGCCTGTGTTTCCTAGTGGCCCGGCGGGGTGGTGGGTAGGGGTGAGAACAAACGGCCATTGAAGGAAAGAGCCCGGGGATGCTGAGCCCTCTCTGACAGTAGTGCCCTGAGGGTGGGTGACAGTGTGGGCAGGGACTGGGAAGCCTGAACACCAGGGTCCAGAACTAATTCAACAGCAAGAGGCAATCTTGAGGTCCAAGGGGCTGTAAGGCTGGCAGCTTGAGGAGGGCAGGCTTCTGTGCTCACAGCTCAAAGAAGTATCGGATGATGAGGAAGAGCAGGGCCAGGGGCAGTGTGATGTAGAGGTCTGAGGCTTTGGCATAGATTCGTCCATCTCGGTCTTCTAGATCAGCCCAGGTTAGGTTCACAGGCAGCCACAGCCGTTCCCACCAGAAGTAATCATACAGGGTCTGCAGCATCCTAAGTGAGGAGGGGAGAGGAAAGTTGTCAGGAAGGGCTGGGCGGGGACAAACACTTCTCTGGTGTATCAAGAGCAGGGCAGCCACTCTAGCTGTGGACCCTGGTCCTGGCCATGTGGCCTGGGGGAAATGTGCTTTTTCATCTATAGTAAGGTGGTTTCCAGTTATAACATTTAATGCTTGCGACAACTGAGGTCTTGATTCCCTAGAATTAAAAAACCTTGGGTTCTTCCCATAGTTCTTCTATCCCAACCTGCAGGACGGGCAGGACCTGGCTGGAGAAGCTGTAGCCGATCTGAGTAAAGGCAGCACCGCCCTCCTTTCACCCTACTGTCAGGCCTGCCCTCAGCTGGAAGCCTCCCCGGGCGGGGAGGGCGGGAGACCGGAGAGCCCCAAAACACATCACAGGGCTGGCCTAGTACTTCCTCTCCTTCCCTGCAACCTATCTGGGCAGCAGATCCCTAGGACAAAATGAAGAGGCCCAGGAAAGCAGAATTACGTCCTCAAAGTACACTGAGCTCCAGGTGGCCAGCAAGCATCCAGCAAGCACACAGAGTGGACACCACGTGCCATGCCATCCATCCCTGCTAACAAGGCAGACGAATCCTACATTCAAAACACTAATGAAGGCAAAGCTTCAGGGAGTCAAGGAGCGAGGGCGGGGAGTCCAGGCAGCAGACTAAGACACCTAATGGAACTGAGCCACTTTTCTTTCCGAGCGCGTGTGCGCGCTGGGGGATGAACCAGGACTTCGCACATGCTAGATAAGCACTCTACCACACAGCTACATTCTCGGCCCAGAACTGAGCTATTTCTCAGAGTCACATCCAGAATATAAAATACGTTCTAGTCTGCAGGGTGACGCTAGTCTACATAGCAATACGCCTCAGCCCCGGAAGGGCTGCTTTACACCTTCCCACTCTGCACCAGTGAAACAGCCCTGACCGTCTGGACATCCCCATGAGGGGTCGGTGTGTGGCTGGGGGGACAGCAGGCGTGTGGGGCTGAGAGAAGCAACAGGATGGCCCTGCAGAGTCAGTGACACCTGGCAGCCCTGGGGCTCAACAGGAAATCCCAGCACGCTGGCCTGGGCAGTCTTTGCCAGGCTCCTGCCCTGACTCCCCGCAGCAGTAGTGGGACCCAGACTGGCCTTGAGACTGCAAGTGAGACACAAGAGAGGTGGCCCCTCCCTGTGGCCGGGGGCGGGGGGAGAGAGAGCCTGCTGTCCACTGTGACGAGGGTTGAGCCCTCCACCCCCAGCCACCACAGAACCACTTGCGAAATCTCTCTCAGCCTGTCAGTATTCCAAGCTCAAGGACTTTACCCTCTTGTCCCCACTCCTGGTCGCTGCTCTCGGATGAAATCAGAGGTCAGCAGTGACAATAAAGGAGCTTCGATTTCACCTTCCCCCTCCTGCCCCAAATCACACACACACATTCCAGACCTCAGCACTGCCCCTTCCTGATCCTCCTTAGCCAGAATAAATATTTAATTAGTTAAGGAGATGGAAACCTTCTGAACTGAACAAAATCAAATATAATTGCCCCAGTGGAACTTTATACACACACACACACACACACACTTTTCCTAGGGAAAAGTAGAAAATCGAACAGAGAAGAGACAAATGAAGAACCCTAGATATCTGCACACCTCCCACTCCTCTTTTCTCTTTCCCAATTTTTTTTTTTTGTTTGTTTGTTTTTTTGGCTTGGCCTGACTGGAAGTGGGGGACTATACCTGACCCAGTCACCTGACTGCTGTCCCCTTGGGGCCCTACCTTTCTTCCAATGAGTTCTAACACCAAGGGTACAGGCAGACATGAACTATGGACCCCATCCCTGTTCTGGACAAAGGAAACTGGCAGGGATGCTTCTCTTGTCAAGTGGCATTTGGCGGACCAGGGATGTAGCTCAGCAGCACAGCACCTGCCTGGCAAGCACAAGGTCCCGAGTTCAATTCCTGGTACCAAAAAAAAGGCACTTGGCAGGGTAAAGGATTTGGAGAGCTAGCTGGGGATCTGTAGGGTTCCCTCTCCCAGGAGCCAGGACTGTCTTGTCCCCGTCTTATGCTTACAAATAATGTGCAGCAGGGGCTGGGGATTTAGCTCAGCGGCATAGCGCCTGCCTGGCAAGTGCAAGGTTGTGAGTTCGATTCCCAGTACCGGAAAAAAAGCAAAGGGGGGGAAAAAAGTGCAGCACTGGGGAGACAGAGGCAGGCAGAATAGGCATAAGGGACGGTTAAGGACAAGCACTGGACAGTGCACCCATCACAGATCCTTCCTACCATCTTCCACTAGGCAGGGTGAAGGCAGGTGTTCAAGAAAGCACGGCGCGTCAGTGCAAAGAGACACAGGCCTGGGTCTCAGGCCTTCTGGGGCCACTGTTCTCCCTCTTTGTCCTGGACTTCCGCTAGCAGAGGTACCAGACTTGGCAGAGCCAAGACTTCGGACTCAACTGGAGGGGAAAAGGTATCAACTGAGATCCCAGCTGGCCTTACCTTGCACATCCCCACAGAACTTGTGGCAGCCCTGGCAACTTCTTGGTACCAACACACCAAGCCAAACAAGGGATCCCACAGACAGGAGGTGGGGATGGGAAAAGGTACACCCAGAATAGGAAGCCGGCTTTCCTGCCCCCTCAGTTCTCAGGGATTTCCTTGCAGAAAAAATTACACCTATACTTCTCCACTTTGAAATTATGTTCCCATGCTGGGGCAGGGGGATGCACATTTATTTATAATCCCAGCACTCCAGGAGGCTGAGGCAGGAGGATCACTGCAAATTCAAAGCCAGCCTGAATTACAAAGTGTGTCCCTGTCTCTTAAAACCAAAAAGGAGGAGGAGGAAGGGACAAGGGAGAAGACAACGAAGAAGATGGCACTGCACTCCCATATATGCAGAGATGTGCATGCACACACCTACCTCCCTGAGAGTCACAGACACCACTTTGTAAGCCATAGACTGGAGAGGGGCCAGTAGCACAGGGATTTTTTATGGGATTTTTTTGGGGGGGTACGGGGACTCAAACTCACAACCTACAGTTTACCAGGGAGAAGCTGTGCCGCTGAGCTATATCCACAGCAAGCGCAAGGATTTCGTGAGCATTGGATTACCAGGAACTTGAGCAGGGCTCTGCTCAGCCTTAACCTTTGCCCCAGGTCTATCAGACTATCCCCAAGACCCTCATAGGAGGATAACAAGAGGCAGGGGCCCCCTTGCAGCTAGTAGACTCAGAGGGCTGGGAGGGGAGCAAGCCTGAGAGGAAAGCATTCTCACAGGCTCACCATGGGAATAGCCTTCCTAGCTCTGGGTCTGCAGGAACAACTCCTCAGGCAAGGACAGAGTGAAAAAGGGAGGGTCTCGCAGTCTCCCAGCTTCCATTGAAGCTTGAGCAACTATAAAAGGGAGAGAGAAGGAATCCTAACACTTCCACCTTGTTGAAAACTTTCATTTCAGGCAGCAGGAGCTAGGAGGCTGCAGGAAATGGGCAAACCCAGGAAGATGTGTCACTGCCCCAAGCTGTAGCACAAGCCCCAGAATTTGGGTCAGATTCTGGGGATGGTGGGGGTGGGAGGCAGCAAGAACAGGGGTCCTCAGCCCTCCACAGGCCTACAGTTTGTCAAACACTATCCAAACCCACAGCCCCAGGGCCAGGAGAGGCCAGAGGTGAAGAGGCAGCAGGTGGAGCTGAAGGGCTCAGTGCAGAGCCAGCCAGCTGCTTGCCAGAGGCAAGGAAAGACAGGCTGAAATCTAGCCAGATCACCCGAGAGGAGGGTGGGGTGAAGGATGCCAGGGAGACAAGGATCTCTTTCTCTGTTTGGAAAGCATCTGTGCAGATGACTGTATGGTCAGGGCCGGGCCTTGAGGACAGGGCTGCAGACGTCCTTACCCTGAAGAGCCCCTCGCAAGTGCAATCAGCCTCGCGTTCAGGCCCAGCCACCTCAACTCTCTCACAGGACAGGATCCCTAGTGACCCGCTCGAACACAAGGGTGACCACCTGACAGAGGCCTCCCCTGAGTCGTTTTGGGAAGAAGCCTCACTCTGTACCTCAGAACCCCTTACTCCAGGGCCCTGCAACTCAGGGGACAGGGACCAGGCTTTGATGACAAGCAACCTGGCCTGGGGAAGAGATTAAAACCCCCAAGCCCAAGCCAGGCCGAGGACCCACGCCGCACACCTGCAGTTAACTCTGCGGCCAGAGAGCCTCCGGCACTCCTGGATAATTAGCAACCTCTATCCAGGGGAGCCCGTTTCCCCGGGTGCTGCCCGCCAGCCACGCTCGCCCCTAACGGTGTAGGAGCCCGGGCCCGGGCCGGGGCAGACCCAGCGCCCTCCTTCCTGTTTCTCGCTCGGCACATGGACGCTCCGACCTCCCTCGGGTGGGCACCGGGCCGGGCTCTGCGCTCCTGCACCCGGGCCGCGGCCAGGCCAGGCCGGGGCGACACCGCGATCCGCAGGCCGGGGCCGTCGCGAGAGTCCCGAGCTCGCTCCTCCCC